TTATCTCTATGTATTGAGAAATACCATCCAACCCTCCCAAAAACCCATCTCGGCGAATTAAAAACAAATGGCAATAAGTATAGGAGAAGACAAACCAGAGACCAAACTCATCTCATCATGTATTCCCTGCACATGGTAATACCCTGTGCACTTGTCTCCCTGACCCCTTGACAGCTTCGTTTATCCTACTGAAGACTATTTTCAGAGGGATGCAAGCTACAACCTGTTCTTTTGCCGCCTCTGCCACCACCTTCTTCTTGCTAATTACTGTCAGCTTCTGACCAGTTAGAGCAGAGAGGCACCTTGTCTTTTTGGATAGAGATGAGGATTTCTTTGATTTTGATGATTTCTGTGGAGGAATGTGTTGTTTCTTTTTCTTGGATTTGTTTCTCCATGATGGTTTTGGTTTAGCATCATCATCAACCATTGGAACACCCCTAAGTGACTTGATATGACTACTCACAATGCAGTCAGCTGAACCATCTTCAAGCACTTCAACCGTTAAAGGATGCCCGACAATAGCTTCACCATTCAGTTTACTCCTAAGGGAAATCAGTGGAACATCCCGGGGTTTATAGTTGGCTTTCACCTCGATCTTCACGTCATACAGTTGAGAATTTCTTCCCAAAGCCTGTGTACCAATGCTGAAATGACCATGCGGGTTTTGATCAGACACAGAACAAGGAGGCAGTGAATTGTTGTTGGCTTCTTGGGCATAAGCATTCCTTCTTTCTTCTTGTCTTTTACTCATCTGCCTTGAACTCCTTTTACCTTTCAGCTGCCACTTTGAACTGCTCATCTGAATCCCATTGATAAGGGGAGTTGCTGGACTTGTACAAGCAGATTCATTACTTCCCTCATTTTTCACAGCATCATCATCGCTACTCTGACCACATTGCCTCGCCGGTCCAGAAACAAGAGCCTTCGTGGGTGAAGAAGATGTGAAAGCAACAGTCGAAATACCTAAAATAACAATGGACGTCAGTTTAAGTCATACTGATCACAAATCAGAAAAGAAGGCCACCAAATATGATCTAACTGATCAAATTGTTTGATCCTAACATGCAGAGAAAGAATGATAGCAGATTACCATCTTAAGCCAAGACCAGAAACTCACAGAAACAACTAGCCATAGACAAGTCAAAACATTACTCGGACATTAAATGCACTAGTCACTAAATTGAACACAGGAAAAAAAAATGCATCCTTTCCCAAAGAGTCATTAATATTCTGTCCTGGACAATATTTCAAGATATTAGTCATATAAACACCTTAATCTATCACATGACAAATTCACTTGATTTTTCAGTGCCAATTGTGGAGACATTCAGATTTTTCCAACTGAGAAACATGAGGAAACAATAGGTCTGAAAAAGTATCTAAAAATATCAAATTGAGATATTTGTACCCTGTCGAAGTAAAGAACCATGGCATATATGTTTGGAATAGATTCCAAATTTATAAATGAAATAGTTAATCGTGGGGCAACATAGACACACTGCAAATGCCCCTTGATCAAAAGAAACCATTCAACCACCAGAGCTTTTGAGAAAAGGTTTAGCTATTTTTACCTGCAGAGTAAGTTTCTACTCCAACTAGTGGAACATCAAATAACCCGTTGGACGAGTCATTTGCAGAGACTTCACTGTCTTTTGCCTTGTTATGGACCGCTTCAACATCTTCAGAAACATTTAATGATACCCCAGTGCCGTTCGAGTTATTGTTGTTGATTATAGTAGAAACTTTGCTTTCAGAGAACTCTGGAGGAGGAGAACAATCAGAATTGACAAGTTTGTCACCGGTAACAAGAACAGACACTGTAGCTGTACTCTCTAACACTTTTGTCATTGGCCGTCGTCGGGTTTTCCTTTTAGAGTTCTCATCAGCACTTACGACTGGCAACCTTTTTCTTGTCATTGACAGAGAGGAATCCTTGCTATTACCATTGGCAAGACTCACACTTAACATAGAACCATTGATGTTTGTATAACTTTTAAACCCATTTTCCAGTTTAGGCTCGAGCATTGCGCCGGCCTGTGCTTTTCCTTTTGATCCTATACCCATTCCAATATCTTCAAGCCCTCTCATTCGTTTGATTCCTTCAGTCCCATCATCTTCCGAGTCATTTGGAGTTCTTCTTCTCCTTTCTGACAACGGCTGAACCTTAGAAGCTTTGACATTGTTGGATTTTTTCAAAGACATACTAGATTGCATCGCATCTCCGGTCTCTGCTACATCAGTCGACTCCTCACCAGATGTACTTGCCTTCTCGATACACGTATCATCCTTTCCTGTAAGTAGCTCAGGGTGATCTTTCGCAAGGTATGCATTTTCAATCTCTAGAGCATGGACAATGGCATCTTCTCGACGGGCATATTTGACAGCCTTCTTACTACTAGTAGCGCCCGATGCAGTAGCTTTTGCCGTCTCAATGCAAGTATCATACTCCCCACAACGAAACGCCTTCACCCTCTTGGACTTTTCAAGATTATACCAATCCCTGGAGAGATAAAAGAAACTGATTTACTCAGACCTAACCAAGACAATAATGGGATGCAGAATGTTGAAACTACATTTTCCAACTGTTATCAATCATTCATAAAGCAAACTCATATTTACAACGATTGATTTCAATTATCAAAACAAGAACACTAATACAGAACCAAAAGGAGATTAAAATCAATCACTAAGCCAAAGGCAATGAACAAAAGCTAGAGGCTTGATAAGTTAGTGGAAGAGTACTTACACGCTAGCATCATCACGACCTAGAAGCTTTATCGGTGTGCCAGATTTGGGAGAAACTAGACAAGTGTCAGGAACCTCGTCATGAGCCATAATCCGACCCGGCCACCATGACCCGTTACGGCGTCGGACCCAAACCAACCCACCTATCGACGCATCAATCGCCTTCCGCTCATCAATACTCCCCATCACACGGACAAACCCGTCGAATCACAAACCAGCAAAACTCTAAAATTGATCTACAAATTCGAAGATTGGTGTGAAGTTGAAAACAGAGGAAAACTGTAAACCGACAGGATCAGAGGAAAAAAACCCACGACTTGTAGAAAGATGTGAGATTGGTTGCAAAATGGTTTGGTTTTATCGAAAAGAAGATCTACCACCAAGGAAAGGAGAATCGGGAAACAGAGAGATCCAGTTAGTCCTCGGATTCTCTCTCCGACGTTTCTTCTCTATGTTTGAGATTTTTGTTTCAGTCAATTTTATCAATCAGTAGCAGCGAGACCGCTGTTTTTAAACTGTTAGGGTTTTTGTTGGCTTCCTTTGGCTTTGGTTTTG